AGAATATCATCGAGAATAATGTCTTAAAAAAATGAAATAAATACTTTTTACGATTAAGCTGGATAATAAGCAAGATACGTCTTATTATAAGGAACACAGTATCTCCATTAACTAATGTTTGACTCGTGAATCCATTCGATGCGGAGACATGATGTTTCCTCCTTTGTATCCTAAAGGGTGATGGTGCCGTAAGCTTTAGCTCATTTGAAGTAATCGATATTAATCACACTGCATTATCGTATCGTGTAATATATATTTAGTATTGTAATGCTTTTTCACAGTGAGCCAAATAGACATCTAAGCGTGTAGCTTCTTATTACTTATTTTCTCCCCTCTCGTATGCTGATTGCTCTAGTTGCATGAGGCACAATTACTTTCACGTTAATCGTTCGCCGACGAACCGGAACCGGGCCATGGAAACTCGAATCTAAATTACTTAAACGAATTAATTTCGTCGATTTAATTCCGATCGTCTTCGCGAATATTAATGCGTGATAATACGAGCTGATGCGTTCAACGCAATAGTAATTCTAATGCAGACATTGTTGACGCTATGGCATGGCTAACGTTATTGACTTTTAATTTATCTTTTTTTTATCATGGCTAAGGAATATTCATAACTATTTTAATGTATTATCAATCTGGTTACAGAGTAAATCTTTAAGCTCCGTGATTAGATTATTCGTTTTAAATTATATATAAAAAATATTATTTACTAGGAGTTGAACGTGTTAGTGTTTTAGAAAACTTAGATAGAGAATTTATAATATAATTCTTGTAACAACCAAGTTACAGTTTTATTGAAATAGAAGGAAAGAGAAAAGGAGCATTAAAATAAGAGCTTGAGCTTTAGGACCTATTAAAGTTTGAATTTGTTACTTCATGGACGGTCGAAGTAAATCTTTTTCTTTCCCTTTTTCCTTGTTCTTTTTTTTTTAGTTTTTTTTTTCAAGCGTTACTGAATTAGCGGCCTTTGGTGTGCATTGGAACATTGGATGTGTAGCGAACATATGTGGCTTTAGTACAGTTTTCTTTTTGAGTTTTGACTTCGCATTCGCCTCCACAGGAGCATTCTACCGAAACGTAATCAATTGACTCGACGTCGAGAACTCATCGAAATTTTCTGTCGTCTATCTTTTTTGTATTTTCTAGGAATAAAGAAAATATCAGATATTCCAGTGCGAGTACTCAGAAAGCTGGAACCATAGTATGCGATTATTTGTAGTAAAAGTCGATAGGAAATTTTCCCACGGCAAAGAGTGAACTTGAACGTTTTGAGTACTCGCAGTTACTAAAGAAATCCATTGCTTTTGATACATAGTATCACGATCTTAATTTTTTTTAATTCGGATGTAGGTTCTTTGGACGAAGAAGATTATTTGGAAATTAATTGATAAATGTTGGCAGTTTAAATAAACATCCTACAATTTTCTCATTAATTAAAATCACACTTACAACACGAAATTTGCTCATACGATTTAACCACTCTTAGTTCCATAATTCGCATTACGTAATTTCTTTGTCCAAATCTTCCTACATTCTGAATGAATCGACGATCTTCTTAAAAAGAAAAAAATATATCGAATCGCGTGCCTGTATCTTAGAAATTCTTATCGCTAGATCGTGAAACAGGACACATGGTGCTAATTGAAGGGAATTCAATTTCCAGACTTCTATGGAGGAAGTGGCTCGAGGTGATCCGAAGGTGAACCAGTCATCGCTGTTGCAAAAGCTGTTGTCGGAGTGACTGCCGGCCAGCACTTTGAACAGTAATGAGATCTATGTAATATACGTTTGAAGGGGAGACCGCAAGTGAAGAACAAAACCCCAGGGCAGGGTGATTATAGAGAAGGGAGGACAAAGAAATCGGTCATACATACACACATACGCATGTACACCCTATACGTAATGGATACTAAATTGTACTATATGTAAACGCTGGAACATACACGAAGTCAGTATTCAGACACGTATCACCAAATACAATTTTGATGAAAAGATGAAGCTAGATCGCTGCGTCGTGCTCTCTGTCGCCTTTTCACGCTGAGACTTGTGATTAAGTCGCGAACAGCGCCGACAACAGATAACATTTCGGTACTGAATTCGCTCTATACTCGTAGGACCAAAAGTTTTTGTTTTTCATTTGACTGTGTCGAGATTTTTCGGCGATCCTCGATCAGGTCCCCCTTCGCGGACCTTGCTGATATCGGTCTCTAACTAGGGGTTGGATCGAGAAACAGTCCATTGATGGTTGTTAAAGCGGATCGAGAATCTCAATCTGATTGCGATTGAACGCGAAACAATGGGACGATGAACGAAAAGGATGGAGAGAGCACGTGGCACGCTAGTTCGATGTTCTTTTTTTTATTTTATATATACGAAAAAAGAAAAAAAATTGAAGATAGCCTTTCACGAA